CCAGGTGTATAGATGACCATGCAATTGCTCCTCTCTGTTGAACTTGAGGTGAAGATGGTATGATCCTCTTTCCTACTTGACTTGTGTACAGTCTGTTATGCCCTAGCCATTTGATACCTTTAGGCACATCCTTTTACTCTCACCCACGTTATTCTCTCCCAAGGGATTGAGATTCCAATATCATGTGCTTCAGATCCCTATCCAAACATTGTTCTCTCCCTTTTGGATCTGCTTCTCTTTTTTTCTGTCGATGTTTGCAACACTTCTTTCCACACTGGGCATAGAGTATACTGGTACTGATGTGGTGCAGTCTCCCACGTATGATCCTCTACTGCAAGGATCTCCACTTTTCAGGGGTTCTTCGAATGCTTTTGGAGGTTGCTTCTTTCTCTCCCTTACACTGGTCCCTCCACCTATTCAATGTGGGATTCCAGCTATATCTGTGAGAGGAAGTTAGTTATTGTATCAGAAGTTATAATTTTCCCATACTTAAAATGTATTTCCAATAGGTACTTACCTCTACTCATACTTCTCACCCTTCCTCCTCACTGAAAACTAGTACTTCCATTTTCTGCCAAAACTCAAAGCGATAGTTTGGTAGAATCAAATAGAGAGAGTCACATGTGTTAGGAGGGTATGTTGCACTCCTGTTGGTGGAGGGTTGTAGCATGATGACTTACATGCTCAAGGCTTATGGCATACAAAGGAATTTTTTCATATAGAGGGCAGCACTGAACAAGAATAACTATATTTGTGAAATGATGTAAGTACCTGTCAGAAATACATTCCCAGTATAGGAAAATTATAACTTTCATTTGGATAAAGTTAATGTAAATTATTTTCGTGTGATAAATTAGTTTGGTATGAACTAAATTTTTTTGTTTTTTGTATACTTTTCTTGACAGATAGAGAAAAGACAAAGTCAGGTATGAGGGAAAAATCAACAATCAAACGTTTATTGATGTACAAAAATTCCAAACCAAAAAGGTAAGTAAGATGTAATCATAAGCTATTAAATCTGTTTTGATCTAAGAAGTAACTCAAAACAGAAGTAACAGAGTTTTATTTACTAGTTTTATTGAAAATGTCCAAAAGACCAATTCAATGTTTTTTTAAATACTTACATTACCTATTTGAGTGTTAACTATATTGTTGTTGCAAATATTTAGACTACTTTATTTGCACTACTTTTCCTTTGAGATGTTGAGCAGATTGATTCAGTCATTTTGTCCTGTGAAAACCACCATTACAGTGAGTTTTGTTGAGAGTATGCAAGTATAAATTTATTGTTCTTTGACCCAAGCTGGGAGTATTATTAAATACTTAAGAAATATGAGTTTTTAAAGAACCTTATGAAGGTATTTTGTTTTAATATATTGTGAAGTGTTAACAAGTTTATAGAGGGTGTAATACTTTTCATTTTTCTCTATATATCTAGTCATAAAGATAATAAAATCATTCATTTAAAGATTGCCATATTAGTTCTTGCAGAAAAGTTCATTAGAAGTCAGTAGAAGAAAACAAATTACAAAAATTGAAAGTTTTTTATGTAAATTAACTAATCACCAAAGCCACATGTAATCTTATGGAGACATTCTGGTCAGTAACTTGTAGAATTCTGAAATGAATGAATACTTACCTCTGTAGCTAGTTTCCTCTTGAAGTCATGCATATTTGCATGACACCAGCCTTGTGAAAACTTCCACCTAATTTTACGTGTGTTCATGTGAATTTGCACTACTACATCCTTCTTGCACAAATTTTTCCTGTACATTCACATGCAAGAATCTTAATTTCTTTCCCTCAGCATAGTTGCATCCAGATGTGTTTGTTGAGACTTGTCAAAAAGCTTTGTTCTCAACTTTGGTTGTGTTTAAACGTAATCATTATGAAATTGCAATTCATTGTGAATTCTTCTTCAACTGATGAGGGTGAAAATATCACTCACACTGATCACATTGCCAAATTTTGGAAGTCCTTTATCTGTGGAAGATGTGACAGCCATTATCCAACGTGTGATGGGGTCCATGATGCCATAGGGACCCTCTATTTCTGTCCCTACCATACATTTCCCTTCCCCTGCCATGGATACTGCCATCAAGAAATAAGATTTTGAACAGCTTTTTCCACCTCCAGGTTTTGCTTTGGGTATCTACATGCTTTCTGATTAACAACTTAATTTTTCTCTGAGTTTTCAGAGACTCATTACCCAGGTATGTACTATTCTTTCTCTGTTCCTCATAATCTATGATGCTTTCTGTTTCCTCTTACATAACCCCTTCCCATTGTGATTTCTTTGTTTTCCCCTTTCCTGATATTTTTGTTCATGCCAACTCCTTTGTTGATCAACTTCATGCCTCACCCCCCCTACCTGACAGACTCCTTTCCCCTTGTGTATAGTCACTCTCCCCTTTTTTTTTCTTTGATACCCAACACTTGGAGTCTTATTTGCCAGTTTTTTTTTGGGGGGGGGTGTATTTTTTGTTAACTGTCTACTTATCTAGCACCCAACTTTCCCAATTTCATGCCTTCCTTACTACCCTTCCCAGGTATCTCTCTGTACCTTACGATGGGAGAGCACTTAATCATTCCCCTGACGAATTTTCCGGGGACACAAGAGTGCTCTTATTCTCTTCCATTGTCCATTCCACTTCCGCCCTTTCACATCTTGCTTGGTTTCTTTATTGTTGGGACCTCTCTTTGGAAAGGATACTCTTTTCCAAGTCCAATTACCTTCCTCTGAAACCTTCATTTTGCCCCCTTTCTCTGACAAGGAATCTTTGGTTAGGTCTCTGAATCTCTAGAATCAGGGGCTGAAGCTTCATTTCCTCCTTAGTCTTGTGTTTGTCCCAATCTCACTTTTCCACACATGCCCCATCCTTCTTCCTCATCTGATGTCTCACCTCCTGACCAAATTCAGTCAGTTCAGGACCTGTGGGAGCCCATATGTTCCAGTTTGCACATTTATAGACATATTTCATAGCTCACAGATAGGTCATTCAAGTCCTTACCCGTGATCTCTCTCTTCATTCTCTTCCCCACCTCCTCTTTTCTCCTAACCTGTTGCCTTTCATCACCCTTCATATCCAGCCCACCTTCAATGTTTTTAACTCTATTGCTACAGGCTGAGGCGATTTTGACTGAATTCATATTATGGAGTACTCATTAACCCCTTTTCCCACTTCTTTGCCTAACTGGAACTTGAATGTCATTCTTCATGACATTCCATTCCACTTAAGACCCTTTGAACCTCTTGCCACTTGCTCTCTATATCACCTCTCTCTCAAAAGCTATTGCCTTCTATTTCTTGCCTGTGATTGTTGGTCTTATGTCTATGCCATAGACTCTTTTTCACTACTCATGCATTCTTCCCTACCCCAACCAATCGTTCCTGCCTAAGGCTTCAGCTGCTCAAGAGGGTGTTCACACCTTTTCTTACATTTTCCTTCCCTTTATCTCCCATCTCCATGGACATTTTGACCCAGTAGACTTCTGTGTCCAGTCCAGATCATTCATTGTTATCTTTCTCCTAATTCCTTGTTTCAGAGTTCCTGTCACTGGCTCTTCCTTCCTTGGGACCTCTCCTCTACTAGAGGCCTTTCTCTCTCCACCCTTACTGGAGGGATCCACCAATTCATATGGATGGTTTACTCCTCCTTGGGGTGGATAGTATTTGGTTTATTCACATCTCCTCCCACAAAATAAGACACCTGACTCATTCCCTGGCAGCCTATTTCCATCAACAACTAGAAAATATTATCCAGGCAGGAAAGTGGACTACCCTGCACATATTCCTTGCCCGCTATCTCCACAATCTGGCTCTTTCATCTCCAGGGTGATTGTGACTTCCACCCATTGCCATTCTTCTGTTCACCTACACCTTTGACAGGTGAGTATACTTCTTTATTTATTCCTAATCACCTTTAATCTAAATTAGGATCCCACTGTTTGGCTTGTGTTGCCTCTCAGGGTATATCTACCAAAAATTTGCATCGAGCCAGGATAATGGAAAGTGCTCATACCATCTGCCCTGGCTATATAAATGCTCACTGTGAGATTGGGTGTTCCCCAAGACCACTAGATTTTTCCTCATGGTATTTCAATATTACATTTCAAGTGTGGTCCTGGACATAACAATTTCATGAGCTATCGGAGAAAAAGTCAGCACCAGAGTTGTGGATGTTCCCACTTCTCTGGCTAGAACTTGCTGGATTTTAAAAATAGGGTTTTGTGGTCATCCATTGCACTGTCTCCAGTAAAACACCATTCCAGCTGCCAGCTGTTAGGGTGGTGAACCATGAAAATCCTCACCAACTGGGATCTAACTGCTGAATGGACTATGGATACATGTCAATCTACTAATCATTATAGGTATATATATATATATATATATATACCTATAATGATTCCTGCTCTTACATTTACATGAACCCTAAGATTCTGGCAGCAGAGTAGAAGAGCCTAATCCATATCTACCTGTGATGTATCACTCTCAAACCCTTACTCCCACAGCAGGCAAGGGGCCTAAAGAGACTGAGGGTTGAGTAGAGATTATTAAGTATGTATAATGACAAACTTCAGTATGGTGCCCTCCTCCCACAGCTGGAATGTAGCCCTTAGTGACTGATGGTTGAGGTAAATATGCACAAATACTTATCACAAGTGCCCTTTTTCCACAGCTAGTTTTGACCCATCTAGTTTAAATGGTAGAGGAGGTGAGAATACAATATATGGTCCGAAAGAGTTCCAACCTCACTATGCATATTGGCCATCTGACAACTCGTGTGCAAGTACACGGACAGTCATGTACCTATTCTGCCCTTCCTTGTGACATATTTCAGGCTTTTAGCTTCTTTTCCTATATTTTGATGAGAAGAGATATGATATCCCATAAATGTGCCCCTTATAGAGCCCCTGCTGTGGGTTGTCACACCCCATGGACCTCCTTTAGACACTTTCAGTAGGAGGCTTATCTAGGTAATCTTTGCTCCTTTTCCTTCACCATCTCATTGTGGGATTCTTGCTATTTGTGTAAGGAGGTGAGTATTTGTTTCGGAAGTTAACATTTTCCTTACCTGAAAATGTATTTGTGATAGATACTTCTGTACATGTTCCCACCCATCCTCCCCACTTTACTGATGCACCCTTCTTTATTGTCTCATCAAAGAATGAGGATTCTCACACATCAAGTGTAGAGGGAGGAATTATGCAAGGAAGCGTGTTGCACTCCTATTAGTAATATGTTATCATATAGTAGCATAATTTTATATGAACACAAGAACTTAGGTTGGAGTTTTCATAAGTCTGGTGGCATGCAAATCTTTCAGGAAGATATGCACAACTTCAAGATGAAAATAGCTGCCTGTGTACAGAGGTTAGTTGCTTATCAGAATTACATTTTCAAATAAGAATAATGTTTACTTTTAAATGTGTACTTGTTCATGAGAATTTACAATTGTCACTTGTGTGTGAGAGATAGTTTTTGTTAAGCCTGCCACAGAATACAATGTTTTATGTAAACATATTTTTAGTGTAAATGTTTTTAGTTATTACAAGAAAGGCTATAGTATTAAGATTTTCTTGTGTAAAAGTTATTTGTAGAGGAGTATTTTTAATTCTTGCTTGTAAATGTACCAATAAGATTGCTTTTGTGTAAAGTTTATTTGTAGGGCAGATAGTTTTAATTATTGCATTAAGTATTGTTAAAAAAGTATTTTTCCAATAGGAATTTTAGGAAAGAGTGTTTCTAGTCATAAGTGTACCAACAGAAATGTTGTATGTAAAAGTAATTTATAAAAACATATTCTTTAAGGCAGTGGTTAAACTAAAAAAGTATATAATTATTTGTTGTTGGTACCACATATACAGTATATTCTTTGTCAGGTATTTCTTACATAATATTCTGATTTGCTTATGAAGCATGTATTATGTTTACCTTCAGAGATAATCGTGGAAAGATTGTCAAGCCTGCACCTTTCCAGTCAACTCTTTCTTCTGGTTCTGTGGCTAGAGTAGCACCAAATCAGAAGTGGTTTGGTAGGATTTCTGTCTGTTTATCTGTTTGAAAAGCAATAGAAAATTTAAACTAATACTAGATACTGATGAATATTACTAGATGGCCTACTTAACTTGTTCTTATTTGCTGTCAAAAAAGTTTTAGTCTAATGCTATCTTGCAAGCTTCCTAGAAGCCATAGAAATTTTTGAAAGTCATGGAATTTAAAAGTAGAGTTCAAGGCCTTGAAAATTATGGAATTTGTTGAAGTATTGAAAGTCATGAACATTTTTGGGGAGGCTTTTCTAAAATCAGCCACCAAATTTATTATCTCAAAATGTACATTGTGTACTGATTTTCTAATTTCTTGAAATGTATACTGTTCACTAATTTATTGAGAAATACTGTAAAACTTCATGAAAGATGCTGATTTGTAATATATTGATATGATTATTTATTGATGTATTTAAATTTATTTTGATTGAGACTTAGTTTTATGTATTATTGATGTTTCATGTGCAAATAAACATTCTAAAATGGTTTGTGGTTTTAAATTTGGTAGTATGAATATATTGGAGATGGTTAGGTACATTAACCAAGATGGTATTTAAACATGTAAATAATGTCAGTTAATGTATATATATATATATATATATATATGTATATTTAAGATCATCAGAAAAGTTAGCTTTGGTCACAGGAAGTTTTAGAATTTTTACATGTTGCAAGAACCCTGATCCTAAACTTCTGCATTGACTGCTAGTAGCTAGGTAGTGCATTGTTTGTTACATTGAAACAGTTTTTTTTTATTAATTAGCTCACTGTTTAACTAGTATAAACACTGAGCATTACTTGACTTTTGATATGAAGTCCGTATCATTTGTCAATTTCTAAATAACCTGTAACTTTTTCTGGGGCATAACACTATTATATTTACAACATAACACTAAAATAATCATGTAAATGGTTTGTAGATCTAGATTTATACATTATTTTTTAAGGTTAACGTTTTGGTATAAATTGTTTGTAGAAACCCTAATATCAAATTAACTAATAAAATTTCAAAGATTTTCTTTTAAAATCATGTTTTCTTTTTAGTTCTACATTGAAGCAAAGAGAAAGACTCCTGTCTCCGAGTATCACTCAGTTTAGTTTAGAAAATGACTTTCATGCAATTAGTTAGTTAGTTAGCTGTACAAGGTTGTATTTTTAAGAAAATTTCTCTTCTAGATTGGTCAGTCTTGGCCAGCTTACAAATTTAATTACTTAAATTAATCCTGAAATACTGTTTATCTCTCTACACCATTAACAGCTGTTACCTCACATGCAACTGGTACGGAATGTCCTGCAAATTCCATAAACCTTGAATGAACTCTCACCCCTACACATGTCTTCATGCATTCCACCAGCAAATGATGTAATCATCATAGTGCTGTAGCTGTCCACCAACAGGAGGGCAACATGACCTACATGAGCAAGCAATAGCACATGTTCATAGGTTAATTTTTCCACAGCTCTGCTTGTGTTGAGACAAGTTTTTCTTGTGCTTTTTGAGTTTGTAGTTGCCTTAAGTGAATGCCTTCCTTCTGTAGTGCTACATTGCTTTTGTCCTTTTTGCACTTTTGTTCCATTCACTTGACTGTTATTTAATTTTCTCTAGCCACCAAATTTCTTCTGTAGACTACTTTCAACATCTTATGCCAAGTAAAATATATGTATACATGTATGTGTATTTAGCATATTTATATAATAGTAATAATAAAGCCTTGAGGCCCAGACATTAATTTTCAGGCAGTTTCTCCAACTGACTCACTGGCAACTGGAAGAACTTTTTATATTCATGGACTTGACATTCAGTTGTTATCCCTTTAGCTCACTTAGTAGAAAACGCATCTCTGTGTGATAGGTCTCAGATGTCAGTCAGTGACAAGGTACTTTCAGCATCATGAGTAACTTAGCTTCCACAAACTTATTGAATGGTTGATTCTCTTCTGCCTATTTTTCTTTCCAGTAAAGGTTTTTAATTATTTTGTTTTTTTTTTGTCTTCTGTAGAGCCTGCCTTGCCTGTGAGCAGTGTTCGCCATCTCTTGCTTTTGTTTTTGACTCTCCTCTCTGATGAAGAGCATGTACTTTCTCTTTTTCTGTTTGCTAGATTTGTAAATCAGGTATGTGATATTCTTTCTTGACCAGTATAACATAATGTATCTTTGGCTGTTTTACTTCATGTGCCTCCTTCTGTACCAACTCTGCATTATCCCACATCTTTTTTTGTCCTACTCGTCTTTGCGACTCCTTTGCTATGCCCTCCAGTCATGCTCCTTTTATATTTCTTGATCCCCAGTCTCTTGTGTCTTTTCATTCTGCTTGGGATGCTCCTCTTTCTCTCTTTGTCTTTCTTTCCAGCTGTCTGTTCATTTTTGTCTATCTTTATCCTATTACTTTCCTTTATCTCCACCCTTCACCTCCTCAGTGAGGCTCTTCATTACAACCCCAATAGTTTTGGTGGAGACACCTATTTTTCTTTGTTTTCTATTTCCTTTTCTCCTATCTCTATGTTGACTCGACATATTTGTTTTGGATATTTACATCCATTCCTCTTATATCCAAGACCTTCGTCTCACTCATTTGCTTACAGATCTGATCTTTGGAGGTGTTCTTGACTCCTTGGAGTCCCAGGCTTAGGCTGGTTACCTGCAGTCTTATATTTTGTACTTGATTTTCTGACTCACTGGTCTATGGGTATCTCTCTGCTACCCATCCTTGGTAGTCACATGGAGCTACCCTCCTCCTGTTCCATATTCTCTTGCTTCTTTTTATCATCTCTCCTCTTCCATGGCTCTTGGCAGTGACTCTTCTTCCAAAACATACCTACCTCCTTTCACATTTCAACTATTACTCGACTGCCAGGGTTTCTTTCTTTGTCCATCTAAGCATTGGTCTGATTTTTTTTCTCACTTTCTCCAGTCTTTTATACCCCACTTAATTGCCCTTGGTGGTATTTGTCTTGTGACACTTTCCACCTATGTCAATGTGCCCTCTCTCGTGGTACTGTATATAAGCATCTCATTTCAGATAACATTATCACTTTTTCTTGACAAAGCATCACTAATGGTTTCCCAGTGCTATGATTGTTCGGAGATACTTTGAGCATTCTCTGTGTCATGTAGTTGATTTTTGTATAAAAAAAATAGATTGGTTAGCCGATTTATGGTATGAATTTTCATATTATTATTATTTTCAATACAGAGGCAAATCAGGTCTCTCCTATTCCATCTCAGATTTTAGCATTACACAACAATCGGGGGTGGGGGATAGTCAATTGCTTTTTCCTGCACCTTCTTTTAGTCTGTTGGCTTCTCAGACCCCCTGTGGGACAGATTTATAACACCAGAATCTGGGGGTCAATTCCCTATAGTGGACATAGCAGACAGCCCGACATGGCTTTGCTCTAACAACACAAACTCACCTGACTAAATGTTGTGACAACCAGTGGTAACAAACAAAGTCTTTAAATGAAATAAAAAAGGAGGCCACTTTAGGATAAGCTGCCTCTGATTTGCTTTTTTCAGTTGGTTCATCAAGAGTGTGATGTTTTGGGTCTTTCCCCAGTTACTTTTGAGTCTGCACCTTACTTGATGGCTAAAAGGCCTGGGAGCGAATATTTAGTTTTCTCTTCATCCACGGGGTGGTTTACTTCTCAGTTACATGAAGGGACAGTTATGCCTTATCACCTCCAGGTATGTTCGGACTCTCAAATAATACATCTGCTCCTTGAAATTGGGGTTCTAAAGCAGAGTTTGTAGATAACATGAGTAGATCAATGTCTTCTGGTTGGACAGTAGTAAGTCTACAGACTTATAACTCTAAAATCCAATGTTTTGTTTTCCTAATGCTGAACTTTGTTGGAAGACTCAGGATCACCAACTTCATTGATGATGAGCTGGAAACATTGTTAGCATGCACATTGGTTTGATTGTCGCCTTCTACATTCATCCTTGTTGTCATTGATGTCTTGTCTTTCATTGGCTCCTACAAGGGGTCATAGTTTTACCCTTATTCTAGGGTCCCGACATCATCCCCTTAGTACATTGGTACCCAGAATAGATTTTGTCGATATCCAAGGGTTTTGCTCTTATGTTAGAACACCAGCAGCAGCATTGTTGATTATTGTATGCTTTTGGGGTCTGTAGGGGCTCAATTCTGAAAATTTCTGGACGTGTGGTAACCTTAACCATGAATCCATGGGCACTACAGTTCCTTGCATCAGGATTAATCATTCAGTTCACATCTTCACTACCATTACCCACCCAACCTGTAGGGTTTTCATCTCCTACAGATCCTCATGCTTTAGTACTTAGTTGTAGGGCTATCAGAGTTTGGTTGGTCTGGGGATAGTGAGAGAGTCGTGCTAGTTCTTCCGAGGTTTTACTCCCTGCAATTATTGGGCCTAAGAAGGCAGAAGATTGGTGTCCAGTCATCAATCTTTCTTGTCTCACAATATACTCATTCCTCCATCTGAATTGGCATTTTTTACTGGGAAAGTGGATGTCCAAGTTCATTGTAGTCAGCTCTTATTTACACATTGCCATAGTGCTGGCATCCCACAACCATCAGCATTTTTTGTGCACAAGGGTCAGGTATTACAGTTCAGAGTTTTTCCTTCGGACTAGCATCGATGTCACATAGGTTCTGCCGAATCGTACGAGTTTTTTCTCGTCACCTCCATCCCATAGCACTGCATACACCATTCCATGGTGCAATCTCATCAATAGTCAGAACCTGATGATATTTTCAGAAACTACCAAGGCAGGCTTCATTCTCAGAGCTGAGACATCTATTCTTGCTCTAATTCAATATGTCATCAGTCTTTTTTTTTTTATAATATATCTCAGTTGGGCTTAGCTGACTTCCATCAGGCTCCACACTATGAAACAGAAAGCCAGACTCTTCCTCGCATATCCTTCCACTGCATGGATGTTTTTTTCTTTCTCTTTAGGGAATGAGGACATCACTCAAATGCCTTTAGGATAATAGCACTAGA